AAAAAAAAAAAAAAAAAAAAGAAGAAGAAGAAGAAGAAGAAGAAGAAGAAGAAGAAGAAGAAAAAATCCTTTAATTTTTAATATATTCAAATATGTGAGGGTAGCTGGGTACACTTGTGCTTTTATGGTTTCATGGTCGAAGTATTTACTATCTGGAAGTAAGCTGTGCCTTATTATGTAGGTTGAGACTGCTGCAGGTTCAGCACCCTTCTTATCTTTGGTTGCTCCTTTAAATTCTGGATCACAAGAGTCATACTGGAGAGCTCCTCATGATGCCTCGTCTGTTGAATTTGTCATTGTGTTAAATAATATTTCTGATGTCTCTGGTGTTGTCCTTCTGGTCAGTCCATGTGGTTATTCAATGTTCGATGCCCCTACTGTAAGTACGCTGATTTTTTATAGTTGATACACTTTCAGAGGCTAAACTATTTCACAACTGGATGTTGCATTTTGTTTCGGGAACCAAATATATGCCCAATGATATTTGTTTAGTTTGCCTGGTGTGTGCCGTCAAGTTACTTTCGCTTACACTTTTTTCAAGAAATTCTGGTATGATGAACAAACTATTTTCTTACTCCATTTTAATGGAAAGAGAGTTGTTGCTGATGGAATTCAGGTCTTGAGTTGTTTCACTCTATCAATTAAAATAAATATTGAACTTATGCATCTTACTATCACGTTGCTGTTATCATTTGAATTAAAAGAGTCTTGCAATCTCGTTTTCCTGTGTATGCATACAAATGGTAATGTCCTCATTTTCATGTCTTGAAACCACATTCAGAGGATAGTCAACAACCTATTAGATTGTTGCTCTACATATGTGTCTTTCTTCTGTTTGTGCAGGTACAAATCTGGGTTAGCAGTAAACTAGATAGGGAAGAACGATTATGCACAGGGAAATGGGATATTCAATCTCTCCTAAGATCTTCATCCGAACTTTGTGGGCCAGAGAGGTCCTTTGAAGATGGTAAAGTTCCTAGGCATGTCAAATTTGCCTTCAAGAGCCCTTTTCGGTGCCGCATCATCTGGATAACCTTGCGTTTGCCAAGAATTGGATCTAATTCGGTCAATTTCGAAAATGAATTTAACCTGTTGTCCATGGATGAAAACCCGTTTGCCCAAGTCGGCAGGCGTGCGTCTTTTGGTGGAGAATTTGATAGTGAACCATGCATTCATGCTAAAAGAGTAATAGTAGTTGGTACTGTAAGGAAAGAAATAGGGACATCCCCACAAGGGTCTGACCAAATAAACGTGAGGAATTGGTTAGAGAACCCTCCACAGTTGAACAGATTCAAGGTAAATAAGAGTTATTAAGTTAGTTCTCTCCAGAAACTTTGTCATGTTAACAGGTTGACAAACCTATAGAAGTTGTTGAAACTGAACCCCCTCTTTCTTACATTTCAGGTTCCCATTGAGGTCGAGCGATTAATAAACAATGATCTAGTCCTGGAACAATTTTTATCCCCTGCTTCGCCCCTTGTGGCTGGATTTCGTCTGGATGGTTTTAGTGCAGTAAAGCATCGAGTGAACCATTCGCCTTCCGCAAATGTGGACACAGAGTGCAGAGACTATCTTTTAGATGAGAGGCTTATTTCTCCTGCCGTGTTGTATATTCAAGTTTCCGCCCTTCAGGTACTAGAAGCATCTTTGCTGTTGTTTTTGTTTAATAATTTTAATTTTATCATGCTAAAGACATGTTAGCCTGGACCATGTTTGATATTCCTCATCCTTTCCAAGTCAAGGTCTCTCATTGGCATATGGTTTGCCGATTGTGACATTACTGGGCTCATAAGATGTTCAATTTTTTGTGCCTTAGATTTGGAATTTGCCTATATTGCATACCCATCCATAGTTTTGGTTCCTGCTGAAAAGTATGCTTGCTATAGTTAGAATAAATCTTAACCATTCATAATTGTTGACGTTCATCTTGGCTATGCTGTAGAAAAGATCATACACAGCCTACAAAACTAGACATGTAGTAGTGTACTCTTGCTTCTCTTGTTTGGTATTAGGCTTTGTATCAGCCATTCATTGAAATAATGGAAACTCTATCAAGGGGTTGCACGCCTGTTTTTGTTAATATTCATTGGTTATTAGTCTATGTAGCAGATAGTGATACATTTTTAAATACAGGTGATATTATATTATATTAGTAGTTAAACAATGCGTGTACTACACGGGTGTTTCATAAAAAACTAATTATCCAACAAAAAGTATTGAAATTCTTATTTTGAAGTAAAAAAACTATAAATAATTAATAAAAATATTTTTTAAATATTTTCCAATTCAGAAAATATTTTTATGAAATTAATTGTTTTATTTAATATATATTCATTTTGTCAAAATTAAATATAATAATTAATTTATTCGGCAGTTAATATAATGCCCATGAACAAGTGCTTGAAAATTAAATAAATTTATCAAAAGAAAAAAGTGAACAAATTTATATTATTATAATAGAATGATAAAAGGTTAAAAATGCAACTAATAATTAAAAAATAATAAAGTTAATTATTTCAAATAATACCACGTTTTATACTTGATTTTTCAATAATTTGATTTTGAATTAATTTATTTTTTTTTTCAAATTTGATTATATTGTAACTATGTTTTATATTTATACAGTTTTCTTTTCTCATCTAATATTTTTTTTAAAATATCTTCAACTTTATAATATTCAAATAATTTAAGATATAATGTGTATTAGATTGAACTTTATGAAATACAATAATTACTTTTATTATTCTAATTGTAATGTTTAGTTTTTTTTCTTTTTTTTTTTCAAGATCATTATACTCTCTATGTAGTCTTTAAGTTGAGACACAAACCTTAGAATATGTTTGTGTATTAATTTGATGTTCGCAGTTAGCTTACATATTTTTTTATATTAATTTGATTTCATAGTTAGCTTCCATATTTTTTTTTTCTAGATAAAATAACTATTTTATGGTATGTTAATACCCATAAATTCCTATTACTTTATAAGATAATTTATAGTTTTATTTGATATTCTTTAATTTAGTTTGAAATAAATTTAAAATTTCTTTATAAGGTTATATATCAATGTTCTGTATTTTATATATATAATATGGATTTTATATATATAATATGGATGTCAAATCGAAGATCGTTTAAAGATAATTAATTTGTTATGTTATATATGAATAATAAAATACAAACAAAAAAGTTATAAAATTTTAAAAATAAGAAGAAGAATATTTATAATAATTGATGTATCAATTAAATAAGAAAAGGAAATGTAATATATGGTAATGTAGAGAAGGAAACGTAAAATAATTTATGATAACTAATTGTAGAGGAAAATAAGGAAATGATCAATCATGGACTTAATATGAATAGACATTAAATAAAATCCAAGACTAATTATTTTTGTATAAAAAATATTAATTTATATCCAAGCCTGACTCCGAAGCATGATTATTTTACCACATAGGATTTCGAAGCGTGAGAACATGCCACCTAGGCTCAACGCATTCGGTAATTATATATAGGGTGATAATATTATTAGGTAATTAGTTAAATTGTAGGTTTTGGCATGTGAGAAGATCATGATGGATGAAAATGATTTAGTCACTCTCTTTAGTCTCGTCTCGTCTCTGCCTCAATCTCTTTCAATTATTCGAAAAGTGTACTATCCCGAGATTATCCATCCCGGTCATATAAAACTTTTTGTTTATGGAATTTTTTGTTACAGAAATGCAAGCTTTCAAAGATGACTCTCTCTCCCTTGTTTGTTTTCTTGTAATTAGGAGTTTTTTCCCTTTCGACTTTGTTGCTTTTGCTGGAAAATAAAGATATCTTGTTCATCATTCTCACCTTGATTGGAATTCTACCTCCTTTCCCAATTGTCCCATATTTGTAGATTTGGTACATACAATAATAATATAAGCCACCAACCATGTCCTTCAACAGGAGTCAAACATGGTGACTCTTGCTGAGTATCGGCTACCAGAAGTGAAACCTGGGACACCCATGTATTTTGACTTCCCCAGACAGATAAGCACTCGTCGCATAACATTTTGTCTGCTTGGAGACATTACTGCTTTCTCAGATGACCCTTCAGAACAGGACAACTCCGAATACAGAGCCCACCCATGGGCTGTGGGCTTATCACTCGCAAACAGAGTTAAATTGTTCTACTATGCTGATCCATACGAACTCGGCAAATGGGCCAGCCTTTCTGCCATTTGATTAAACCCATATTCTGATCCCATATGTTCCGTTTGCTGGTGGATGGCGTTTATCTTGGCTTGATTATCAAATGCTAAAACGTTGAGATTTTGCAATTTTTTATTTTTTTTGATTAAACCCATATTCTAAATTAGAGACTTGCGATTCTTTTGTTATGACAGTTGATTAATGTAACTCCATATAGTCCAAAAATGTAACGTGCGCCCTCTAGTTGGGGTCTGTATGTGTTCTAATTAAGACGTCGTACTGATGTGTTATAAGACTATGTATCCTTGATATTCATGTTTTCTATCTTTTCAAATGTCTACGCCCCGCTCAATAATAAAAAAAAAAGTACAATCGTTTTGTAATAATCAGTAAAAGAATAAGTAAATGACTGAAAGGAACTCATCGTTACATTATATATTTATATCATCACTAATCTATATAGGACATAGTATGTTAATAGTAGATGGACGTAATTTGATTCTGTTATATTATTTTGGCCAAGGCATATGTACAAACAGGTTGACACATGCAATTTGCAATCACTGTCGCTGCGTACTTCCACAAGACTGTATTATCGAGACAATAGACGGATGTCGCTACGAAGTCAGACTTTGAGCAGTAGATAAATCACTCGACACTTGTCGAAGGCTGCCATACTTTCATTTATTTAGAGGACGTTGAGATCTAACATTCATGTTGGTTTTCGACTGCATCAACTCATTCCATTTTATAGTTTTGGTGCTAGAGCCAGTGGTTTCGAAAGAATTTATGTTGTTTTTCGACCGCATCAACCAATTTCATTTTAAACATTTTGGTGCTAGAGCCAAGTGGTTTGGGAATAATTCTGCACCATCGCTTTGAATTGGACATAGAAAAAACACACATTAAGCGAGCGCGTTTGGTAATTTAGTTTCTAATTATTTTCAAGGTAAACATTATAAACAAACTTAATATATGTAGTCGAGGGCAACTATAACAACTACACTAAGGCGATCCTACAAATTAATTTTATTCGATATGTAGTTGATATAATTCATGGTCGTGGGAAGAAACTACTACAAAATCGTGTTGTTCGGCAGCTTGTGGATGATAGTGAAATTGTGGATGGATCTTAATGCATGTTTATATTCGTTGGGCCGTTCACACCAAATGAAGTAATTACTTTTTTTTTTGAGGAAATTACTTGGGGCACGAGTCCACAATTAATTATTTGTAATTTTACACTTCCACAATAAAATTTAGCAAGATTACGAAATCCTCTAATTTATATTGCAATTTGACGGAACATTAAGTTAAGGAGTAATAATATATTTTATTCAATTAACACAGATTAGAATGGATAACTGACCAAATTAAAGCAAAACTAACCCCCTTATTCTCGCATTATCAATGTTCATCTCTCTCACCCGCTCAAACCCACGAAACACTCAACGCAAACTGCCTTA